TGTGGTTGGGGATCTCCTCCCAGAAGCAGGCTGGAAGGTTAGATCTTGGCCCCACAGCCAACGCACTACTCTTGCAAGTCCCATGAGCCTTCCCTCAGGTATGGCACACATGCAACAGCATATGTGGAGACAGAACTCCAGAATGACCCCACTTGTCCCAGTCCGGGGCTCACTCCACGCAGTGTCCATTTCAATTCCCACAAACTGGAGGCACATTCATAACTCTATTGGTTGGTCCCAGGGCTGGTCATACCCCGACCCACCCTGGGCTGACTTACACTGCATGGACCCTGAACCTTCAGGACAGGGACCTCTGGAAACGTCTGCATGAGCATCCCACAGACCAGCTGCCTGCCAGAGGCACTGGCCAAGTGTCCTTCAGTCCTCCATCCAAGTCTGTCCAAAGGCCTCATCTTCCTCAGGTGACAACAAAGAGCTAACTGCCGTCCCTCTAGGTTTTTTTTGTTTTTGTTTTTGTTTTTTTTTTTTTATTTTATTTTTATTTTTTGACAGGCAGAGTTAGACAGTGAGAGAGAGAGAGACAGAGAGAAAGGTCTTCCTTTTGCCGTTGGTTCACCCTCCAATGGCCGCCACGGCCGGCCCAAGGCGGCCAGCGCACCACGCTGATCCGATGGCAGGAGCCAGGTACTTATCCTGGTCTCCCATGGGGTACAGGGCCCAAGCACTTGGGCCATCCTCCACTGCACTCCCGGGCCACAGCAGAGAGCTGGCCTGGAAGAGGGGCAACCAGGACAGAATCCGGCAACCCGACCGGGACTAGAACCTGGTGTGCCGGCGCCGCAAGGCAGAGGATTAGCCTAGTGAGCCGCGGCGCCAGCTAGTCCCTCTGGGTTTATGCTCTCCCTGGAGGCACCACCACCTCCAAGGCCCAGAGATTCTTGATGACTCCAGGGGTTACAGTAATGTGTCCTGGAAACCCACCTCCTGGTCTCTCGCAGTTCTCTTCCCCTTTGCACCATCCTGGCCAGCCCTTCCCTCCCTTTCCCAGGTGTCTGCGGAGCCTCTATGTGAACCCTCCCATTCCCTTCCTTCCCATCCCCAACCTGCAGCCAGCAGAATCCCTCTAAACTTGACATGGAAGTGACAGAAAGCCCAGCAGACCAGCTCCACTGCTTGCCCCCACCCCACCCAGCGTGCTTCTGTAGCCCCCAGTGTAGGGTGGCCACCGCTGGCATCACTTACCCATTCTGCCCCTGCCTGTTGTCACACTGACCCCTATCTAGGTCTCTTTATGGATTGCCATCTCTGTGTAGATTAGTCTCCACTGCCACACTTTACCTGTGCCCATCACAGGGCTGGCCCGCCCAACCACGTGTGTTCAGTGAGGAGTGAATACGTGTGCTACAGGTCCTACCAACACACTGCCTTGTGCTGGCATTACCAGCCAACACAGCCTTACTCAGACCTGAGAAGGCAATGGCCATGGCGCGATAGGCCAGGGTCATGCTCTGTGCCTGGGGTGACAGAGGCAAGGATGTGGCACCGGGTCCCAGGCCTCAAGAGTCGTTCTACAGAACTGTGGCAGCTATCCCAATCCACACAAGCTACCCAATCAAGTTCTCTGTTCAACCTGCCCACTCACAAGACCCTGCCCAAGCTACAGTCAGACAGAGCACCAGCCCCTTTCTCCTCGTAGGCTCATCCCACCTGTAGCAGCCCAGATGTCCCACTACGCTTGTCTCTCCCTGTGCCTCCTTCTGCCAGCATCTGAAAGACCGCAGTGTCCCCTCCATAATGCTTCCTGGCCTCCTTGTCTGTGCTCCAGCCCTTGTTACAGAGCAGCTACTGGGCCTCGTCCTAGGTGCTTATTCTCAGGAGGGCTAGATGCTTACAAGCCACCTTTCCTCCCATTCCATGCAGGGCCTTTCAGGCCACAGGAGAGCTGGATGCTGCTAGATTTCAAAGCTCCTCAAAGGATATATATATGTTTTAAAGATTTATTTATTTTACTTGAAAGAGTTACACAGAGAGAGGAGAGGCAGAGAGAGAGAGAGGTCTTCCATCCGCTGGTTCACTCCCAATTGGTCATAACGGCCGGAACTGCGCCAATCCGAAGCCAGGAGCCAGGAGCTTCCTCTGGGTCCCCGCGCATGTGCAGGAACCCAAGGACTTGGGCCATCTCCTACTGCTTTCCCAGGCCATAGCAGAGAGCTAGATAGGAAGTGGAGCAGCCAGGACTTGAACCGGCTCCCATATGGGATGCCGGCACTGCAGGAGACAGCCTTACCCGCTACCCCACAACACTGGCCCCAAATGATATTTATATATATATATTTAAATCTAATGGAGTACTGGGGCCGGTGCTGTGGGGTAGCAGGTAAAGCTGCCTCCTGCAGTGCTGGCATCCCATGTGGACGCCGGTTTGAGTCCTGGCTGCTCCATTTCTGATCCAGCTCTCTGCTGTGGCCTGGGAAGGCAGTGGAAGATGGCCCAAGTCCTTGGGCCCCTGCACCCACGCAGGAGGCCCAGAAGAAGCTCCTGGCTCCTGGCTTCAGATCAGTGCAGCTCCAGCCGTTGCGGCCAACTGGGGAGTAAACCAGGGGATAGAAGACCTCTCTCTCTCTCTGCCTCTCCTCTTTCTGTGTAACTCTTTCAAATAAATAAGTAAATCTTAAAAAAAAAATCAAATGGAATATGCCCACAGAGCTGTAAAATTGTAGTATGCTTTAAGCTTATACATTGAACAAATTAAGTTCAACAAAATGCAACGTGATAGTTCTATTTTTTTACACACTTTAAAAAATTTATTTATATAAAAAACTTATTTGTTTTTAAAAGCATTAACAAGAGAGAAAGAAAATGAGAAAGACTATGGAGCAGAAGGCATGCCCTCAGTAGTGTTCAGTGAGAAGGTGGGATTTTTGGTTTTCTGGAACTGAATGTTTAATGTTTTTATAAATGAAAGAAGGTATTCTGTTTGTTTACATCAGTGAACTGTTATTTTGAGCCATTACATCTTTTCATAATCTCCACTGTTTTAAAGCTTACAGAATTTGAATTCTTCAACCCATTTATGAGCCAGCCAAACATTTCCTAGTGTTTGTGTGTAAGGAAAATGTAACCAGTATGGGTTTTTTTTTTCTTCAAGAATTATTGTCTTCTTTGTTTTTGTTTTCAGAGTCAGAGTTGATTCAGTCAAAGAAAAACTGTCCTTGACTTGAAACTTTTCATCAGCTTTTTTTTTTTTTTTTTTGTCAGGCAGAGTTAATGAGAGAGACAGAGGGAAAGGTCTTCCTTCAGTTGGTTCATCCCCTAAATGGCCGCTACGGCCGGCGCCGCAGCTCGGAGGCCAGGAGCCAGGTGTTGGGCCATCTTCCACTGCCTTCCCGGGCCACAGCAGAGAGCTGGACTGGAAGAGGAGCAACCGGGACAGAATCCGGCGCCCCAACCGAGACTAGAACCCGGTGTGCCAGCGCCGCAGGCGGAGGATTAGCCTAGTGAGCTGCGGTGTTGGCCTCATTAGCTTTGAAACAGTTTGCAAGCCCTGATTACTGGATGAGGAGCCAGGTGCTTCTCCTGGTCTCCCATGGGGTGCAGGGCCCAAGCTCTTGGGCCATCCTCCACTGCACTCCCGGGCCACAGCAGAGAGCTGGCCTGGAAGAGGGCGACCGGGACAGAATCCGGCGCCCCAACCGGGACTAGAACCCGTGGTGCTGGCGCCGCAGGTGGAGGATTAGCCTAGTGAGCCGCGGCGCAGGCCTCTGTCCTCTCTTAAACAGCAAAAAGCTCGTGACCCACCTGGGATTTTCTTAGCTCCTCGCTCACTGCCACAGGACGTCTGCTGTACGCTGGTGAAAGCGAGTTCTTGAATGGGGGATGGTGATGTCCCTGCTCATCCACTGTCGCCCGCTGTACCTGGGCCTAGGGCCTGGCAGGCTTTGGTGAGTGTCGGAAAAAAGAAAAAAATCACAATGCAGTCAGCAAGGCTTTGAATCTTATGCCACTGTTCAAATTCACAATCACACAGCAACGTATGAAACAGTTAGAAATGTCGAATAGCCTTCTCATGGTTCTCCTCAGAACTAATCAATTCACTCTGGGAGCCGCCCAAGGCTCAGTCTGTGTTCGGGGCTCGGCGAATGCTTCAGGCCTGAATTTTCTGCGCTGCGCGCGTCTTCGGAATCACACCTTTACTTCGGACAGTGAAGCTGACAGTCTCCAGCGTGCAGGCCGCACGCAGCTGTCTCAGAGAACCAACGCCGGCGTTCCCTGCGCCCTCGTGGGGTCTGCCCCGTCCTGAGACTGGTCCCCAGGTCTTCCCGCCGCTCCCGCCCGAGGTTCTCTCTGGTCTCCCTGTTAGTCCCCGAGCCGGGCAGCTGCGCCAATCCAAGGGCGCAGTCCCCTCACGCGGAGACGCCGGCAGCCACGCCACAACGACAGACTGACGTCAGAAAGACTCCAGTCTCCAAACGGCGACACGCCGCGACGCGCGAGAGGCCCTCTGGGAGTCCTGGCTCGCGTCCCTCCTGCGCAGGCGCAGCTCGGCCGGCGGCGGACTCGGCCTTCGACTTTCCCTCCGGCAGCCGCGCGAGGCGGAAGGGTTTTGCGGCGGACGTGTGGAACTGAGCCCGCCCAGGGCTGTCCCGGGGCTCGATCGGAACCCGAGCCCGGCCCCCAGCCCCAGAGCCCCGGGCCGGACCGGGCGAGCCTGTGGACGACCGGAAGCTCCCGCACGGCCCGCTGGGAGTTGTAGTCCGGCACTCGCAGGCATGGGCACGATCCGGGTTGGTGCGGCCAGGGCTTTTGTCTTGGGGTCCGGTGGGTAAGTGAGATCCGGGGAAGTTTGGGGCGGGGCAGGGTCGCGGGAGGGTGTTCGTGGGGCGCGGTCCGGGCCGGAACCTGACAGCGCGTCAGTCGCTGTCGAGTCCCTTTGGCTGCTTTGGGCCTGAGGAGAATCGTCTCGGGGATGGTGGGTGTGCGGGGCCGCTCGGACTGAGGCGGGTTTGAGGGCGAGAGGAGGCTGAGGATCCGAGAGGAGGGCCGGGGCTAAGGGTGCTGCTCCTGCTTTTAAAGGAGGGATTGGGATATCCCGGTCCTAGGGGCACAGGCTGGGCCCTTCTGAGGCTGGGGCCGGTCTGACTTGCATCCCGCACTGCCGCGGTGGGACGCCCAGGCTTAGGGGGTCCCACGATGGAGTCCTCTCAGGAGCTCGCACCTTCCTGGGACTTCAGACCCTAGGATGGAGGTGTGGGGGTCGCGGGCACTGAGGGCTCAAGATTTCACTCTCAGCTGCCAGGGACCCAGAAAACTGTTTATTATTAGACTTATTGGCTGCCAGCACCAGGCAGGCCCCTTCGTTAATGTGCGAACATGTATGTGGCTGTGCTGTTAAGCACAAGAAGCTCTGTGGAGACGCCAACGTTGTCTCCGACCCTTGGAGCCCATGCGGCAGAGCCCCCAGGGAGATGTAAGAAATCCGTAAATCCGTAGCTGAGCAGGATGGGCAGTGTCACGCGAGGGACCTTCCCAGTCTTGGCCTGAGAGGCTCATTTTGGAAAATCAGTTAGGCCCTGCAGGTAGCAAGAGCTAAATGGCTGCTCACTGAAGCAAGAAGCTTCCATTTCAGCAACAGTCCCGGTATCACATGTAACCTGCTGGGTTCCATTTCAACCTTTAATATACTTTAATTCCTGTAATCCCGGCCATGGATGGGACTGCCTGCTGGGTCGCCACCCTCGTCTGAGGGAAGAGAGAAATTGAGGTATGCCAAATGGTGCCTGGCTCCCATCCTAATAACAGAAATATGACTGTGCATGGATTTCAATATCTTTGGCACTAAAATAACCTTATCTGTTAATTCCATCTTTCCCTGAACTTTTTGAGTGCCTTCATAATCACCCTGGAAGTCACTAGTGCTAGCAACTGATGTGCCCTCCCTGGTCTCAGTTTCCATGTCTGTGGAATAGGGTAGGAAAATATGAGATGATTCTTCAGCAACATCTGGAGTGCACCAGTCACGTAGCAGGCCAAGCCAGTTTCACTGAAGTCAGGTTTGCCCTGGGTGCTGGTCCCCAGGCTCTCAGCTGCAGCCCTTCTCACCTGCACCCAGAGCCCCACAGAGACCAACCCAGCGTCTTCTAGTCCCTCTTCTGCCAGAGCTGGAGCTGTCTGTCCTCACAAGAGGCCAGACGATCAGAGAATGACTATCGGGATCCTAACAGCCAGGGCCCCAGTGAGTATAGACCTCCTCACCCCTCCCAGGCCCTGACCTGAGTCCCCACTTGGCCCGTGCTATCCTCACTCTTCCTTAGCCAGGAGTGCACTTTAGCCAGCTTTCCTTGTCAGTCTTTAGGTCTCAGTCACTTCCTCACTACACTACTCAGTGTACCTGAGGCTGGACAACTTAGAATGAACACATTTATTGACTCACAGTTCTGGAGGAAAACCTGAACCAGACCTCCAGACCCACGTGAACTTTATCACGTCATGACTGGCTGGTGTTCCTGTTCACCAGCTCCCCTCACTAGTGACCAGTGCCAGGCTTGGTCTGGCTGAAGACACTTGGGATGTTTCAGGAGCAAGTGGCCTTGGGGACATGGTTGTGGACTTCACCCAGGAGGAATGGGGGCACCTGGAGCCCACCCAGAGAACACTGTATCGTGAGGTGCTGCTGGAGACATTCAGACTCTGGTCTCTGGGTGAGACCACCATTGTGTTTATCACAGCACATCAGCACAGATTCTGATGCACTTAGGTTAAAAATAGGAGGTGGATCTGGGCCTTATAAGCAGAAATCTGGGCTTCAAGAACCTGATTGTGTTAGTATAGGATATATCAAAGAGGATCAGTATTTTTAGCAAGTCACAGAACCAACCTGGGAATACCAGAAGCAGAGAAGAATGGAGTAAGGGAAACATATGAGGTCCCCGACTGCAGAATTCCAGGGTAGGTCTGGGTTTTCCTTTGGTGCCGTCGCAGGCTTCCTCACTATTGACCTCCCCCATCTAAACTTCGGTCTGAGGCCATTTGGGCTATAAAAACAAAATGCTTGAACATGTAATTTATAAACAATAGTAATACAAGCTGGCACCGTGGCTCAATAGGCTAATCCTCCACCTGCGGCACCGGCACATCGGGTTCTAGTCCCGGTCGGGGCGCCGGATTCTGTCCCGGTCGCTCCTCTTCCTGTCCAGCTCCCTGCTGTGGCCCAGGAAGGCAGTGGAGGATGGCCCAAGTCCTTGGGCCCTGCACCCGCTTGGGAGACCAGAAGCACCTGGCTCCTGGCTTCGGATCAGCACAGCGCGCCGGCCGCAGCGGACATTGAGGGGGTGAACCAACGGAAAAGGAAAGCCTTTCTCTCTGTCTCTCTCTCTCTGTGTCTACTCTGCCTGTCAAAAAAAAAAATTAAAAAAAAAAAAAACAATAGTAATACATTGCTCACAGTTGTATAGGTTTGCAAGTCCAAGGTCAGGGGCTAGGAGATTCGGTGGCTGGTGAGGGTCCACTCCTAATTGATAGCACCTTCTTGCCAAATCCTTTCCAAAGGAGCTCTTGAGCCTCTTTTGTAAAGACACCAGTCCCATTCATGAGAGTGGAGTCCTCAGTTCCAAAAGGCCCACCTCTCAACACTATCGCATTGAGGATTAGTTTCTAGCATATGCATTTTAGGGGGATACTGGCAATCAGACCACAGCGACCTCTTTCTCCGTTCTCAGATGGGCCCCTCTGGAGGTGACAAGACTGCTCCCAGGGTGCTGTTCCTGGGTCTAAGTGCAACAAAGAAGATAGCAGCTGTGTCCCAGGCATATCTTGTCAAGGGCCTGTAAGTTGTCTTGTTTGTCTGCCAGGTGACCTTCACAGTAGTCACTGTTGCCAGCCAGCAGGAGAGGTAGTAAAGCTTTTTTTTGGCAAATCCTGAGTAACATGTCTACCCTGGAACAAGAGGTGTGGCTAGGAACTAATCTGTTGGAATAGAAACGGTGGGGAACATCAGAGGCTGTTACCATGACAGTTGTGGCCACCTGATGCCCACAGCCACCTGGGACCTGAAAGATTGAAGGTGGAGTTGCCAGAGAATCAGGGAGGATCCTATGATAGAAATGTTCACTTCATGGGTCTCCTCCTTGGCAGGATATTGGTTCCCAAAGCCAGATGTCATCTCCCCACTGGAGCAAGAGGCAGAACCATGGCCAGTGCATCCTGGAGTTTCACAAAGTGTGTGCCTAGGTGAGACAGTAGTCATGTGGGGGCAGGCGGAGCCCATTCACCTTTGCTCTCCATCTTCACAGAAAACTGACTACTCGGTCTCTTAGTGAACATTAACCAAACACCAGGGTGAGATGAGTCCTCCTCTTGGCTGAATTTACAATCTTGGTCAAGGAAGAGAGTCAAACAATAAATAGGTAGGAATAATAATATGAGTGAGATTATTACTGAGTGTGGTACATGATGAAAAAATGAAAATGGATAATGAGGTAGAGACTAGAATGAAGATGGAGGAATTTTAGTGCAGAGAAGGAGAGCAGCCTTTTCAAGGAGATGGCATGAGCTGAAGCCTCAGTGTTAGGGTTTGAATATTGGATTGGACCAAAGGTCCATGATTAAAGGGTGGTCCCTACAGGGCACTAATGGGAGGTAGTGGAACCTGTAGGTGATAGGGGTTTGGAAGCAGGTCACAGGGTGGGACATCCCCTTGGGATTCAGGACCCTCAATCTCTCTTTCTGACTCCCTTTTTGGAGACCTAAGATTCCTCTGGATACATGCGCTGCTGCTGCCCTTACCAGAGGTCAAAGCAATGGGGCCCCCTAATCATGGATTTTAGACTTCTGCTGCCTCCGGTATTTGTTACAGTGATGTCAAGCTGAATAATACTGAGTCATGAGACCACTGAGAGGACAGTGTTCCAGTCAGAAGCAGCAGCAAGTGCAAGGCCCTGAGGTGGTGCCTCTGTCAGCTCCTGTGGAACAAACACTCTGACCTCAGTGGCTTAAACCAGAGAATCATTTAAAAGCTACTTGCCTGTGGCTAGTGGATCCACGCTGGGTTCTGCCGTGTGATCTGTGGGTTGATGGAGTGGTTCTGTTCTTAGCTCTTATCCAGCTCTAGGCACCAGCAGGCAATTCTGTACAAAGTGGGGATCCTTGCCCCGTGACAGGCAGTTTCCTACTGGCATTAGGCCCTCCCGCTGAATAGTAGTCCAATACCAGTGTCCAAGAGGGCTGGCCAGTGTGAGCAGGGGTTACAGAAGGATCCCTCCACCTTGATAAATAGGTCTTACCTATTTTATTAACTTTCCATCGTCCCTCTAACAAACTAAAACAACTTTACTGGCTTCAAGCACATTATCTTACAATTCTGAAGGTCAGTCGTCCAAAATGTTCTCAGAGAGCCACAGTCAAGGTGTCGGCAGCAGCCCTTCTTACAGAGGCTCTAGAAATACATGCCTGTGCACCTGTAGCCTCTAGAGGCTGCCCACACTCCTTGGCTTTTCATCACATCCATCTCCGAAGTTACACCTCACATATCACCTGCCTCTGGCCCTGCTGCCTCTCTCTCCCACTTTTAAGGACTCTTCTCATTTCACTGGATACTTTTGATCCTAATGGCAAATGATAAGCAGCCTTAATTTCTCACTGCCATAGAAGGCAACATCATACTCACATTTTGGAGTTTAGGACATGAACATCTTTGGAAGCCACTATTCTGCCAAACCATCTGGCTTTACTTTTTTTTTTTTATTTCAATGGAGCAAAACATAGGATAGGAGACATGCCTCTGTCACCCCTCTAGGTCAGACCAGTGTTGGGATGGGGGCAGTATGCACTGAGGACATGGCTATATGGAGAGGGCTGGGTACCAAGGCAAAAAGGCAGTCCTGCATTGCAGACAGTGGCTTAACCTGCTGTGCCACAACATGGACCCTTTGCTGGTTTTTTTTTTATGTTTGTTATTTTTTATTTATTTAAAAACCAAAGAGATACAGATAGCAGGCTCCCATCTAAGAGCCACAATACCCCAGGCTGGGTCAGGCTGAAGCAAGGAGCCAGGAACTCACTTCAGGTCTCCCACATGTGTGGCAGGGACCCAACCACTTGAGGGGTCGCTGCTGCCTCCCAGAGTCTGCATTAGTAAGAAGCTGGTCCAGGTGGAGTTCCAGGCTCCTGACTTCAGTCTGGCCCAACCCCAGCCATCTGGGGAGTGAACCAATGGACAGAAGGTTTTTCTCTCTCCCTCTTTCGAAATAAATAAATAATTTTTAAAAAGAAAAAAAAAGGCAATCCTGCCAAGAACAAGGAGGAAGGGATGCATGTTATTTGTTCATTCAAATTGTCTGCTCATCTCTTGCTGTGGATTTGGGGGTGTGTTGGTGACTGGGGTAGACTGAAGCCTCTGCCTTCAGGAGGGCTCCTGTTGGATAAATCAAGCCAGACTAAAGTTACTCCCTTTATCCCAGGTCATTGATCCATCCCCTAGGGGTGGATACTGCAGCTACTTCTGGTCTGGGAGAGCTGGTGGGTTTCCTTACATCTAGGGTGAGGTAATACAACGGCAGTGTGCTGCCAAGATGAGATGGAATCCCAGCAACGGGAGGGCTGGGCTCAGTGGTCCTTCCTCATGTGGTCACGTTTCCTTTGTTGTCACCTGGGAGAGTGCAGGGTGTGCCACTCCTTACACCTGTGAACATTTTGCCTAAATGCTGTCTCCTTGGCATCTCCTCCCCAGTCTCATTCGTTGTGCTCCCCTGTCAAACTACCCATACCCATTATTACTAACCCCCTACCCATGGCTAGTCTCCGTGACCCTTCTTTTTCCTGTTCCTTCCATGGTTTGCAGAACTGTATTTTAAAATTGGCAAAGCCACTCTGCGTTGAACCTTTCAAAATCATCGCTTTTATTCTTGTATTCCCTTAACCACCACAAAATCTTTTCTCCGAGGTTGAATATTAAGGGATATGTCCTTGTTTTGTTTCTCTCAGACTTGGAAAGTAGATCTGAAACTAGACAGTCCGCTCCAGAGCAAAGCATATCTGAGGAAATACCCAATGGTGTCATCCTGGTAGAAAGAGTCCTGTGGGACCGTCCATGGATCTCTAAGAGTGAGGCTACCAAGGGCCACTGGGAGTGGAGCTGTGAGAGCCTGCAGAGCTTTGTGGCGCATGTGGCCTTCACACCAGTGAAGATACCCACTCGGAAGCAGTGCCAGGGGAATGAGTTTGGGGAAAATCTGGGTCTGAGCCCTGATCTCCCAACTCAACCAATGACTCCTGAAAGACAAGGCCCCCACACATGGGGAATACACAAAGAGAGGGAAAAGCCCAACTCAAGGTCAAATGCTCAACAGAAAACCTATGCAAAGGAGAAACCCTACAAATGTCAGGAATGTGAAAAGGCTTTTAGTCACAGCTCAGCACTCATCGAACACCACCGGACACATTCAGGAGCCAGACTAAAGTTACTCCCTTTATCCCAGGTCATTGATCCATCCCCTAGGGGTGGATACTGCAGCTACTTCTGGTCTGGGAGAGCTGGTGGGTTTCCTTACATCTAGGGTGAGGTAATACAACGGCAGTGTGCTGCCAAGATGAGATGGAATCCCAGCAACGGGAGGGCTGGGCTCAGTGGTCCTTCCTCATGTGGTCACGTTTCCTTTGTTGTCACCTGGGAGAGTGCAGGGTGTGCCACTCCTTACACCTGTGAACATTTTGCCTAAATGCTGTCTCCTTGGCATCTCCTCCCCAGTCTCATTCGTTGTGCTCCCCTGTCAAACTACCCATACCCATTATTACTAACCCCCTACCCATGGCTAGTCTCCGTGACCCTTCTTTTTCCTGTTCCTTCCATGGTTTGCAGAACTGTATTTTAAAATTGGCAAAGCCACTCTGCGTTGAACCTTTCAAAATCATCGCTTTTATTCTTGTATTCCCTTAACCACCACAAAATCTTTTCTCCGAGGTTGAATATTAAGGGATATGTCCTTGTTTTGTTTCTCTCAGACTTGGAAAGTAGATCTGAAACTAGACAGTCCGCTCCAGAGCAAAGCATATCTGAGGAAATACCCAATGGTGTCATCCTGGTAGAAAGAGTCCTGTGGGACCGTCCATGGATCTCTAAGAGTGAGGCTACCAAGGGCCACTGGGAGTGGAGCTGTGAGAGCCTGCAGAGCTTTGTGGCGCATGTGGCCTTCACACCAGTGAAGATACCCACTCGGAAGCAGTGCCAGGGGAATGAGTTTGGGGAAAATCTGGGTCTGAGCCCTGATCTCCCAACTCAACCAATGACTCCTGAAAGACAAGGCCCCCACACATGGGGAATACACAAAGAGAGGGAAAAGCCCAACTCAAGGTCAAATGCTCAACAGAAAACCTATGCAAAGGAGAAACCCTACAAATGTCAGGAATGTGAAAAGGCTTTTAGTCACAGCTCAGCACTCATCGAACACCACCGGACACATTCAGGAGAGAGACCTTATGAATGCCATGAATGTGGGAAAGGGTTCCGAAACAGCTCAGCACTTAGCAAACACCAGAGAATCCACACCGGGGAGAAACCCTACAAATGCACCCACTGTGGGAGGACTTTCAACCAGATTGCCCCACTGATCCAGCATCAGAGAACTCACACAGGTGAAAAGCCCTATGAGTGCAGTGAATGTGGGAAGTCTTTCAGTTTCAGGTCCTCCTTCAGCCAGCATGAGCGGACTCACACAGGAGAGAAGCCCTACGAGTGCAATGAGTGTGGGAAAGCCTTCCGGCAAAGCATCCACCTCACACAGCACCTGCGGATCCACACTGGTGAGAAACCCTATCAGTGTGGAGAATGCGGCAAGGCCTTCAGCCACAGTTCATCTTTGACCAAGCACCAGCGAATCCACACTGGAGAGAAGCCCTATGAGTGCCACGAGTGTGGAAAAGCCTTCACCCAGATCACGCCACTGATTCAGCATCAGAGGACCCACACAGGAGAGAAGCCCTATGAGTGCAGTGAATGTGGGAAAGCCTTTAGCCAGAGCACACTCCTGACTGAGCACCGGAGGATCCACACGGGAGAGAAGCCCTATGGCTGCAATGAGTGTGGGAAAACCTTCAGTCACAGTTCCTCGCTCAGCCAGCATGAGCGGACACACACCGGAGAGAAGCCCTATGAGTGCAGTCAGTGTGGGAAGGCCTTCCGGCAGAGCACACACCTCACACAGCACCAGAGAATCCACACAGGGGAGAAGCCCTATGAGTGCAGTGACTGTGGCAAGGCCTTCAGCCACAGCTCATCCCTGACTAAGCACCAGCGAATCCACACTGGAGAGAAGCCCTATGAGTGTACCGCATGTGGCAGGGCCTTTAGCCAGCTTGCTCCCCTCATTCAGCACCGGAGGATCCACACAGGAGAGAAGCCCTATGAGTGTAACGAGTGTGGCAGAGCCTTCAGCCAGAGCTCCCTTCTTATAGAACACCAGAGGATTCACACCAACGAAAAGCCTTATGGGTGCAACGAATGTGGGAAATCCTTTAGTCACAGCTCCTCACTGAGCCAGCACGAAAGGACGCACACTGGAGAAAAGCCCTATGAATGTCAGGACTGTGGGAAGTCCTTTAGGCAGAGCACCCACCTAACTCAGCACCGGAGGATACACACAGGAGAGAAGCCCTATGAGTGCAGAGACTGTGGGAGGGCCTTTACACACAGCTCTTCCCTTACCAAGCACCAGAGAGTTCACAGTGGGTAGGCCCACTCATGTGCTAGGGCTGTTGGAAAGCCTGAAACCTTAGGTCATTCCTTACTAGACTTGACCCAGTCGTGCTCTTGAGAGACAGCACTTTTGTACACAGCTTTCACACATAATATACTCCTCAGCCTCAGAATTCACCTTGACAAATGACTGTGGGACTACCAAGCTCTAGGCCACCAATCCCCAGATCTAAACAGCAGAGAAGTGTGCAGATGGTGAGCACTGAGGACTTTCAACCCCGAGTGCCCATTAATGCAGTATTATACAACCTACAAAAGAGAAGTGGGGATGGTTTCTGCCCAAGGACTTAGCATATGCTAAACCAGAGGTGTTCAGAGTAGTGAGAAATCCAACAAATACCTTTCATATAAAAGAACCAAATGTAGTCAGAATTTGCCATTATTGCACATTACACTGGTGTGGGGAGGGTGTTTAGAATGGTGCAAGTTGACCGATATTTCATTAAAAAACAATATGGCATTTCACAAATGTCATGTTCATAGAATCCCCATGGATACCTGACTACCTAGATATGAAGTTTTCTGATTAGTGTCTAAGTTGTACATGGCAGCTAGTCTCATGGATTTGAATCCCATTTGACAAAGTATCAGTGTACTGAAAACAGATTTTAAATTAGTTATCTCTATAGTGCTTTATAATAAATTAATCTTTATATGCAGCAGTTTTAAAAAACTTTGTATGAGAAGACTCAAAAATGTAAAGCTATTTCCATGGAGTCTCACAGATTCTAAGGTAGCTCTTGCTGCTCTGCTCCGGCTATAATTTTCTGCAGGATTCAGAGGCATTAAAAAGCAGATGTTGCTATTTGTTGAAAAAGAGAAAATTATTTCCTTTGTTAAGCCATGATCTTATGAGTGATGGCACCTTGTGTCAGAACCACTTTTTACAAGAGTTCCCTCTTTTGGAAAATGTATAAGTTAATACCCTCCAGAACTGTTTTTCACTGATTCTTCTTCCTAGTGTTTAATAGTTTTATATGTGTGTATAAAAGTTTTAACATGAAGCCCATGTTGTTGCATTGAACACTGAATATAAATCATAGTCTCTCTGACATCCACAACCTTTAAATGGTGACTTGCTGCCTTTGGAATCTGTATTCACATTGCATTGACTGGCTGTTGTTATGTCAAGTCAATTTGGTTTCTCAAATCACAACTCTGAAACAGATTTCTCTTTTGGAGAAAACAGTCTTCTAACACTGCCTCTTGGTATGCTTATGGAATGCCTCTTTTTGGAATTAATTTCAGTGTCATTTCATTTAAAAGCACATTCAGAAAGTCTCAGTAAATAGTTCACAGAACACTGACTGCCCAATAGAAACCATGTAAGGCACATTGGTCGTAGTAGGCAAAGCTTCTGCGTGCAGTGCTAGCATCCCATATGGGTGCCAGTTTGAGTCCTGGCTGCTCCACTTCCGATCCAGCTCTCTGCTATGGCCTGGAAAAGCAGTAGAAGATGGCCCAAGGGCTTGGGCCCCTGCACCCACTTGGGAGACCTGGAAGAAGCTCCTGGCTCCTGACTTCAGATCAGCCCAGCTCCAGCCATTGCAGCCATTTGGGGAATGAACCAACAGATGGAAGATCTTTCTCTCTGTCTCCCCCTCTCTGTAACTCTATCTCTCAAATAAATAAATAATCTTAAAAAAAAAAAAACATGTAAGCCACATTGCTAACATTAAATATACTAATAATCAATTTAAAAAGAAAGAACAGGTAAAATTAAGTCCTATTTACCCAATATAGCCCAAATGTTACCATTTCAACATGTCATTATAAAGAATTGATATTTTGCATTTTTTCTGTGTATCTTCAAAATGCAGTGTGCATTTTATACTTGCTGCACATCTCAGTTAACAGTAGCCATAGTTCAAGTGCACATTTGGTATACAGTCCACATCTAAGCTTTTGAAATGTCAGCTTTTAAATTCCCAGCTGAGGCCGGCACCACAGCTCAATAGGCTAATCCTTCGCCTATGGCACTGGCACCCCGGGTTCTAGTCCCGGTCGGGGCGCCGGATTCTGTCCCAGTTGCTCCTCTTCCTGTCCAGCTCTCTGCTGTGGCTTGGGAGTGCAGAGGAGGATGGCCCAAGTGCTTGGGTCCTGCACCTGCATGGGAGACCAGGAGAGGCACCTGGCTCCTGGCTTTGGATCAGCGTGGTGCGCTGGCCGCAGCAGCCATTGGGGAGTGAACCAATGGAAAAAGGAAGACCTTTCTCTATCTCTCTCTCTCTCACTGTTCACTCTGTCAAAAAAAAAAAAAAAAATTCCCAGCTGAGGCCCCAAACATGGTGGAGCAGACCCAAGCCATCCCTGTTGTGCCCCTTCCACAGTACTGATCCACTGAATCTCTGAGCAAAACAAAATGGCAGTGATTCATTTTTGGGGGGATGGCTCGTGACACAGCAATGCTAACTAATACACTCTCAGAGAAGATATTTCTTAAATACAATTGGGTCACTCTTGCCTCACACTCTCCAATGGCTTCCTACCACTCTTCAGAGGAAAGAAAAACCTCTCTGGAAGACAAGGTCCAGCAGAATTGGTCATCTGTACCCTGCTTTGGGTTTCAGTGTACCCCAGACATCTGTGTGCTCTCTACAAAAATCTTGTTTGCCTTTCTCTCTCTCTCTCTCTCTCTCACTGTCCACTCTGCCTGTCCAAAAAAAAAAAAAAAAAAAAAATCTTGTTTGCTTTTCTGAACTCATGTTTTTCATAAAGCTACCCATAAATTTTTGGTTTTGACTCAAGGCTGATCCCTGGACCCTGCTCCAGAACATATGTCTGAATATTTCAGGTGGTCACGATGAGGCTGACTCTTGTATTCTCTGGAGTATGACAGCCCCTGCTCCACACACTTGATCTGCCACCCTTCTCAGGGCCTATGGGAAGGTGCTTACTGCTTCTTTAAGGGACCAGTCCCTCAAACTATCAACTGGGTAATACCCGTGCATCCTCCCTTCTCAAACCCTTAAACTATTTCTCAGGGAACCTGTTCTGGAAACTTCATGGCATGCTCCTTTGTAACATTTACGTTGATCGTTATTTGCTTCTTTGTTTAAGGCCTGCTGCTCTCAGCAACCTCTCTGAAGGCAGGGAGCACCCTCTCTGATCCTACTTCTCCCTCCCAGGCAGCCCTAGTGACTCCGCAAAAGATTGCACTTACTGGGTTCCTTCCCGAGTGAGCCGACTGCAGCAACACCTTCCCTCTATTGAGTGCCTGGGTCAGGGCCCAGGCTGCAGCCATTATGAGCCAGGCATTCCCACAGTGACTGTGGTATCCAGAAGTGGCTTGTTGCTTCATTTACACCAAGAGGAAGGCCTCATGCTTTAATAAGACAGATTATCTCTCCCTCTGCATACAAAGGAGGAAGGAGACAGCTCAGTATCTTAAAGGTGAAGGAACCATCATGGGGAGAAAATCAACTCAAGACAGCAGAGCCCAGAGTCGTCAAAAGGTCAAGCAGCTGCCCCACCCTGGAATATGTCTCCTGATCACCTGGGAAATAAGATCTGTCAAGGTGGCTGCAGTTTGGAGTTGGATTTCTGGTGACTAGCGACCAAAATCATACACCTTGAGTGGAAGAATCATCAATCAAAATCATTTTGTTGTCTGGTTAAAATCGGGACAGCTAGGGCCTTTGGGAGCTCTGCAGAAATGCTGCAGGTGCAGATGGAAATACAGCTGTTGTTCACTGGGACTTCTGGGAGCTGCCCTTCCTAAAACTCAGGCTTATTTGTCTTGCGAAATGACTGTGCTGCACTATGTTTTGAGAATCTGGTATCAGGGCTTTGCCACAGTTAATGAAGATGAAATTCTTAAGGTCACTCTCATGAACCCCTTACATTAAGGGCAAGCACCGAATTTTCTTTGTCATTTAGAGTTGTTTCTGAAGAGGGACCCCACCCTAGTGGTGTCAGTTTGAGTCCCAGTGAATCTAGGCTGCAGCAACTCCATTCCTGGAGAATCCTGTGGATGTTCCTGCAGTTCCAAGGGCGGTGGTCCCTGGATTTTGTTGTAAATGAAAACAATCTGAAGTTGTAGGGTGTTAAACCTGAGATCCTGCTTTGGTTGCTCTGCAGTGGGCTGGTAATCTGTCCACAAAGGCACTGGATGATTCTGAAAACAGGAACCTGGACATAATGTGAGAACGGTGCCCTAGACTCCTGAAGTGGTCCCGCTGTAGAAACCCACAGCTCCCAAGTGTGGTCCTGGCCGAGGACTCTCAGGTGAGGGAACAGTGTAATCTCAGTTTTCAATAGATTCAGGCTGGGTAGCAGGGAGGATATGCCTTTATCACATCAGAAACACATTTTGTTTTTGCCATTGTGGTACAGTATTCTCTCGTGATGCTAGGCAGCAGAGGGAGCCACAGCTGTCAGTCATTGGATCACAGGAGTAAATTACCCATACTGTTACTGTCTAGTGTGTTGCTGTTATGATGTCTAATAGGATAATTAAATGCATTTTGATACCATATTCTCAATTTATGATGGGTTTATTGGAATAAAACTGCACCGTAACTCAAGGAGCATCACATACACACAGTTGGGGGGGTGGAGCTACAACAAATTTGTGGACAAATGGAATGAAGAGATGTGAATTTTCCATATTTTAAGCCCCTTTGTAAATGTTTCTATAATCCCATGACCCTAACACAGCTATTTTCATTTTTACACTTTCTCTACTAGGATTTGACCAAGACCACCATGTTTTAGACAATTAAAATTATTTTTATCTTCTTGAATTACACTAATATTTTTCTATGTTGCTAGTTTTAATTACCACTGCCTTTTAAATTCAGTTTCTCGGGGCCAGCGCCATGGTGCAGTAGGTTAATCCTCTGCCTGTGGTGCCAGCATCCTATATGGGCGCCAGTTCTAGTCCTGGCTGCTCCTCTTCCAATCCAGCTCTCTGCTGTGCCCTGGGAAAGCAGTGGAAGATGGCCCAAGTCTTTGGGCCCCTGTACCCATGTGGGAGACCAGGAAGAACCTGCTTCAGATCAGTGCAGCTCTGGCCGTTGCAGCCATTTATAGAGTGAACCAATAGACGGAAGACCTCTCTCTGTCTCTCCTTCTCACTGTCTGTAACTCTACCTCTCAAATAAATCAATCAAATCTTAAAAAAAATAAATTCAGTTTCTCTATAACTGGATACTTACATTCACGCAAATGGTCATCCTAGTTACTTGTGTATATTTTGTTTTTAATACCCTACCTAGGTCCAGAAAGGATTTTAGCCTTTGTTGTAGCTTCCTTCATTTTCATTAATTCTTTAGGAAACATTACCACAGATGAAACTGAAAGCTCGAGTAACAGAATGTCACAGTGGTTCTTAATATGCACAGGGGGCAGTGTCGTGGCACTGTATGTTAAGCCAGCCTGTGACACCTGCATCCCATATCAGAGTGCCTCCCTCCATTTCCAAACCAGCTTCCTGCTAATGATGCACCTGGGAGGCAACAGGTGATGGAGCCTAAGTACTTGGGTCCCTGCCACTTATGTAGGAAACCCAGATGGAGCTCCTGACACAGCCTGACACAGCCCAGCTGTTGTGGGCATTTAAGTGAACCAACAGGTGGAAGATCTCACTTTTACCTGATCTGTCACTCTGCCTTTCAAATAAATCTTTTATAAAAACTGTTGCACAAGGCAGGTTGACACTGATTCACAAAACTTGCCTCAACTCAGATGATGGCAGGCATTAGTCTGCTCAGCCTGCCTGTCTGGGTGACTTAGACAATAGAAATTGATGGTTTTCACAGATTTGGAGGCTACACGTTCAAGATTATGTTGATCCTTCTGTTTTTGGAAGCTGAAAGTCCAAAATCAAGTGCTGTCAAAGTTTTTTTTTTTTTTAAGATGGATTGATTTATCTGAAAGCCAGTTACAGAGGCAGAGAGAGATACTCCATCTGCTAGCTCACTCACTCCCCAAATGGCTGTAACAGCAGGAACTGGGCGGATCTGAAGCCAGGAGCTGCTTCTGGGACTCCCACTTGGGTGCAGGGGCCAAGGACTTGGGCCATCTTCTACTGCTTTCCCAGTCCAGGGCAGAGCTGGATCAGAAGTGGAGCAGCCAGGACTCGAATCAGTGCCCATACTGGATGCCAGCACTGCAGGCAGAGGCTTTTTGTAGTAGTAGTAGTAGTAGTAGTAGTAGTAGTAGTAGTAGTTTTTGTTGTTGTAGTAGTAGTAGTAGCAGCAGCAGCAGCAGCAGCAGCTTGGGAAAGGAAATCCTGAAACTACTGTCCTGTTTCAGGATTCATCAAGTTAATGTTGCTTCCGGGAGGCTAGGGTTCTCAGTGTTGAAGGACATAAACATGTGGGATGAAAGGAGTCACAGAACGGAATTGAAGCACTGCTCTTCCCGTAAGTACATGTATATGCATACTTTTTGTGTCTTGACCCCTTCATATTTACATGCATTTCACAGCTCAGAAGATACTCCAGTGGCAGTGAACACACTTGGCACTCAGATCTTGGTCTCTAATACCACTGGCACTAGGCTGAACCCTTTCTTTGGAGTAATGACTAATTTCAGGGCACAGGAAGAATTGGGGGTGAATAGGTGGGTAAATGAGCTTGGGAGATCTTCTACCAAAGATAAAGTGTTCAAAAAATGGAGGGATGTCGAGGCCAGCACTGTGGTATAGCATTCCATATGGACACTGGTTTATGTCCCAGCTGCTCCACTTCTGATCCAGCTCTCTGCTATGGCCTGGGAAAGCAGAGGAAGATGGCTCAAATCCTTGGGCCCCTGGCCTGTGTGGAAGACCCGGAAGGAGCTCCTGGCACCTGGCTTTGGATCAGCCCAGCTCTGGCCTTTGCAGCCATTTGGAGAGTGAACCAGCGGATGGAAGACCCTCCACCCCGTCTCTGCCTCCCTGTAAGTCTGCCTTTTCTGATAAGGAACAGGGTTATTTGCATGATCTAAGCATTCTCACAAAGCTTACTAGTTAAAAGGAAACAGTACCCATACGATAGAGAAGCTGATCACTTTGACCAAGCAAGCAAAAAATAAAATAAAGAAAAAAGTGTCCCCAACAGAAGGAATATGGGCATTTATAAATAAATATGAACATCTATACCCCCAGATGGGGAGAAGGGCAAGTGCACACATGCAAATCACGGACACACAGGTGAAATGTTAATAGGTGGAGCTGAGAAGTGTGTAGATGTCCTTCTTACTATTTTTGTTTTTGTTCCCCCTTTTTTTTTTTTTTGACAGGCAGAGTGGACAGTGAGAGAGAGAGACAGAGAGAAAGGTCTTCCTTTGCCATTGGTTCACCCTCCAATGGCCGCCACGGCCGGCGCACTGCGGCCGGCGCACCGCGCTGATCCGATGGCAGGAGCCAGGAGCCAGGTGCTTTTCCTGGTCTCCCATGGGGTGCAGGGCCCAAGCACCTGGGCCATCCTCCACTGCACTCCCTGGCCACAGCAGAGAGCTGGCCTGGAAGAGGGGCAACCGGGACAGAATCCGGCGCCCCAACCGGGACTAGAACCTGGTGTGCCGGCGCCGCTAGGCGGAGGATTAGCCTAGTGAGCCGCGGCGCCGGCCTGTTTTTGTTCCCTTTCTGTTAAACATGAAGTTATTTCTAAATAAAAAGTTTTAAAACATAAACTTTAAAAAGGCACATTTAGCTGCGCACTTAACGAGACAAGCGATAAGACTGAAGAGATGGAGTGCTGCTGGGGTTTATGACAACAACTCCCCACAGCCCCAAGAGTTGAGGGTGGGATGCACCACAGGGAAATCCCCTAGCACAGCAAGTATGTGCCTAAGAATGAGAGTTGAGGTTGTTTTTAGGCTTTTCTCACTTCACATTCAGCTTGGTGAATAGGAGTGGACCAGCTGAGAGGGGAACCCAGTATTTTTGGCAGACAGACAACTGGGCAGACAGTTCCTGACCCTACTCCAGTAACCAGGAGAATGGGGTTACTTCTAAGGACACACAATTGTGGATTACCAGGTGAATGGGTGGCCTTCCACACACTCCAAGGGTCCAGTGGAACAAGGATGGAGCTAGGTCCCTGAATCACTGCACTGAGCAGAGTGCCCCTCCTACCACATGAAAAAGCAACTGCAACAACTACAAGACAATGAGCGATAATGTGACTGAAGAAATAAAGTCTTTATTATGTTAAGTTTCTGTGACTTGGGGTTGTTACAACAGATTGCCTGCTCAAACACAGTGAAGGAAAGAGGCACCAGTTTATCTACAGTGATTTATGCTCAGGCAATGGAAACAATGCTATGATCTGAGACTAAACACAAATCGAAAGATACCTTCTGAAGCCCAGGAAGTTTAGTTTCCTTTGTTCACGCAGAGAGACTGCCTCATCAACCTTTGATCAACCCCAGTAAGAAATACACTTTACAGCACAGCTAATTCTTATCCTTCGATCGATAGCTGGAAGTTTCACAAAACAGTATTTGCCTTTACTACATGATGCATTCTGACCTAGTTGATTCTACTTCATTGTTTTACAAGGCTGATGGTCACCCACTAATCTGATGTCACGATTTCACTAATGGTCTGAAAACCCTCCATTATTAGGCTCCAAGCTTTTGTATGATCTTTGTAAGCCACTGCATACACAAAGACACAAAGTTGAACTAGGAAACAGTTTTTGCTTTTGAGGGTTCGGAAGTGAATTTGACATCAGGTATTCATGAAAAATCAAGCACAGCTGGCAAGAATTCTGCTTGAACAATCTCGGGGAGCTCAAACAGGAACTGAGGCAAGGACAGATTCAAGAAAGCGCTACAGATTACATACTTTAAGGCAATTCTACACTTCGCACAATGTCAAACAATCCAGCACGCGGGTGGTACTACAATGGCTGCAGAAGCAAACAGAACCTTCTTTCATCTCCAGTGACTTCCACTCCTATGTGAGCACCTGCCCAGGGTGTGTCCACTACAAGGTGAGGGCTTCCCACAGGCCTTCTAGTTCTAAGTGCTTAAGCCACAAGAGCTCATTTAAAAACCAGACTGTGTCCACACAGATACTGCAGGAAGCCACCACTGAACAGCTCTGAAGGGGCCTGATTCAGTTCAGGACTCCCAGCCAGACTCATCTTGCAGGATACCCACAGTATAGCGATTTCTCTCTATACCTCAGGATGCACAGGGAAAGCATCATCTTCCATACACTCTGGGAGCCTGCTGAACCTCCCATCAGAGTGGGCTGCACAGATGGCAGGGCGGGGGCCCTGGGGATAGTCGTCCTCTTCAGGGGTCTTCCGGTGCTCAACTGGGATCAGGCTGAAGTGGAAGGTTTTACAGCAGCCCTGGCACGTGTAGCATTTCTTGCTCTTATGGCTCCTCTGATGCTCCATGAGCAGTGAGATCCACGCGAAGGCCTCCCCACACTCAATGCAGGTATAGGGCTTCCCTCGGGACGTTCCAGGCTCATCAGCCACAGGGCAGGCCGCAGCAGAGGTACCTGGGTCCTGCCTAGCATGGAACCCTGCACTACGGCCAGCTGCATTGAGCTTCTTCCTCGTGTCACACTGTTGGCTCGCACTCGAAACACACTCAGGGCCCTGCTCATCTACTTCCTCTGGGTGGGGCCTCTTTGTGCCAACACTTTGCAGTGGGGTCACTGGCCTTGCTGCACCCCAGTCCTGGGCAGGCTTCCGGATGACTGACTGCCTCTGGGCGACAGTGACAGGGCTCAACTCCCCATCCTGAGGCTCTGAAACCTTCCAAGGCTGCTCTTCCTCCTCCTGGGTGGTGCCCAATGAGGGGTTCACAGGAATGTCCCCGGCAAGCCTCTCCATCAGCGTTGCCTGCGTGGAGACCTCCTCACACACGTTCCCTGTGCTTTCCCACCGCCTCCCGCTGCCTGAAACAAGGTCAGAATATAAGCAGACCCGACTGCCAGGGCTCACAGACCAAACTGCTTCACGAACAGGACTAACAAGACAATGTCACAAGCTCAAAGACCTGAGCAAGGAGGACGTGGGCCACCAAATGACAAGTGCTTGGCATGTGTGGCCTTGGTTAACCCTCTCAACCCAGGGGCCACGGACACAAGCAAAATGGCACAGCAAATGCAGTGTCACCAGCTTCCTTGATCTCAGAAGACGGCCACTTGTTCCTCATCTGCTTGGATAGTCGCTGGAACGTCAGCGGAGCTCACGGCTGCCTCTCTGGCAGTTAAGGCGGCAGTGCAACCAAGTCTAGCTAACCAACATTTCTGGAAGGTAAGGACGGGGAAAGACCGCCCTCCCTCCTGCTACAGACACGGGATCGGGAGCAGCCAACCTGGCCTGTGAGGTGACCTTGGCATCACAGGCCACAAAAGTGGAGCTGTGCCTCAGTCTGTCACCATGAGGACCAAATGAGTCTGTAATAAATTAATGGGTTACGCAGTGGCCTCAAATGAAGCGCGTTCACCCAGGAATCATGTCCTTGGGGTCTCCCCGACCCTCATTGGCTTTGCCACGTTACACACTATAACTGTTAGCACACAGGATCCAAGCAGAAGCTTGATAGATGCTTACCTACCTGGAGTGCTCCCTTTCGGAGTCCTGTTACCACATTCTGAGGAAGCCCAAGCCAGCCACTTGGAGAGGCAATGTGAATGACCACCCAGGCCAACAGCCTTAGCCAAGCTCCCTGTTGGCAGCCAGTGCCAACTGCCAGCTACGTAAGCCCATGCGAAACATTCTAGCCCTTGTCGAGCTTCCAGAGCACCGCAGATGTGTATGTGTGGTCCTAGCAGCCAGTCCCTGGGTCACACAGCTGAGCCCAGTCACCCCAAAGGGTCACAGTTAATTCATACTGTTCCTGTTTTAGGTAACAAGTTTTGGGGTGGTTTTTTCTGCTGCAAGAGCTCATACCTGGATTCTTGCTTCAAGCTCTAATGCAGTAGTGGGCAGGAGAATGATGTGAGAAAGCCAAGGTGAGGTTTCAGCCGACACTGACAGAGCTCTGAGGAGGCCCCATCCACTCCGGAAGAAAGGTGTGCCCTCCACCCCACCCATCCCCAAGTCATCTCTTTCCAACTTGACCTTACCTGAGAGGCTGCCTCCTGGCAATTCTCTTTCCACCAAATGAAGCTCCTCTGTCTCCAGTCCTGGGGCAGCATCTGGCTGGGAAAGCTGATATCCTGAGTGGGGTTAAAGCACCAAAAACGCAAAGAGGTGTTGAGACAGAAAGCAGCAGGTGGGCCTCACATCCTGTGGGCTGCCTAGGGCCGAGACTGCAGCCCCAGTCCTTTCTGCTACATTAGTCCCTCTCCCCTCCCCTCTCCCCCCCGCCCCTCGCCCCCCGCAAAGCTGCCTCTCACTTGGGAGTCCTTGGAAAGCTAGGAGTTCTAAGAGAAAAGGACCAAGAAGAGGGTCTGCTGGTGGGGCTCGAGGGGCCAGCGGGATAGGTGGGAGGGGAGGGCATCTCGGAGGAAGCAAAGTTAAAGACAGAAGAACAAAATTAAAACTGTGAAGGGCTCAGGAGCCTATGCTGGGGGCTCCTGACAAAGGAGGCTTTCTCAGGCAAGAACATCTATGGAGGAGACAGACCTCATGAGGCCACACAGGCAGGGAAGCGCCAGCTCTACACTGAGGACAGGAACATTGGGGCCTGGGGGCCAGGAAGCCCTTCTAAATCTGGAGAGTTCAGCTCCTACAGCAAGGGCTACAAACACAGAGCCGTGGGACCCAGGCAGAACCTGAACGTGTAGACCAGAGAGCAGGGACCTTATACACAAGTCCAAGTTCAGAGACCTGTATTGTGTTTCCAAGAGGGTGGATCATGAGACCATGGGAAGCAGGTCTTACCCCACAGGAGCAGCTTCCTGTAGCTCTTCAGGTTTTCTTCTGAGGGATCCAGGTGGCCCCACTCTCCCAAGTGCAGAGGCTCCTCTGGAAATGACTTCGGCTTCTGAAACAACGGACTTCAGCCATGCCATCCGCCCACCCTGAAGGGCCTGTGGCCCCATGACCACAGCCAGCACGTGGACCGTGACCTTGTCCAGCTGGCCCACGGGTTCTGGCAGACGCACTGCATAGGGGTGTCCCCTCCATGCAGGTTCTACCTAGGGTTACCTCTACAGCCACTGCTCCACCTCGGCACTACCGATACTCAGGGCAAGAAGTCCCTGGCTGTGGCTGAGTACTAGCGACAGGGTAGGGGGAGATGCCGGTAATCCAGGTGGGACAGACCTTCCTTCTCAAGGACAGGTCCTGTGAGCCAGTGGACAAGGCCGGCCGGCCCCTCTCCCCTCACCTTCAGCTCGGCTCTCGCAGCACTGGCTTCTTCGGTCCTTTCTTCCCTGCTGCTCCCCTGTTCCAGAAGCACGGGATGCAGAGCAGGCCAGGCTGGGAGAAGAGACGGCAGAGCTGGGGCACAAGTCCTCTCTGGTGGGCATCCCCCCAACAACCCGAGACCCCACTATCTGCCTGCATAGGTCCCAGGAAGAGAGGGAAGGCTCAGCCTGCTTATGTCACAGCAGGCTCCAAGCCTCACCTTATGAAACAGGGGCCAAGGAAAACAAAACAGGACAACAAGACACTCAAGCTCGGCAGTGGCCCCAGAAGTGCCCACTCAGGCCAAGAGGGAGACGAGGATTTGGTTTTTAACCCACTAGATTGGTGGAAATCTTACAAAGTGGTAACTTACAGTGCTGGCACTTGTATACTGTATATGCCACAGACTTTTTGGAAAACCAAACCATGCGGAAGTTTCTATTGTATGTGAAATACTAAAAATCAAATGCCCTGTTTGCTCAATGGTCCTGAGCAACATCTGCTGTATACACTGGAGAGCTCACATATAGCCACACGCCGCCTACTCAGAGGAGACACTGCAGTCCAACTGAACTCCCAATCAAGGACAAGGAAGGGCCAAGCAGGGGCAGCGCTCAGCAGCTAAGGAGCCATACTTCTGACCATGAGCTCGAGGGGCTGCTCTGTGTGAGTTCCACGTGCTCAAGCACAAGCACGCGGTGACCCAGGAAGCTCGAGAGAAACCCCCTGCAAGTCCATGTGTGACTGCAAAGGGATGCACCAGGGCGCTCAAGATATCTGATTCCATTTCCAGAATTACAAGGGGATGGGAAGGCTACGTTTTCTTTGTATGTTAATGCCTTTTGGCCATGTGATAAGCACACATGATTGGCACAAACTCTGAATTTAATAAAAACAGTATTTATAACGTGCACAATTGCAGCACGGACTTCAGCAGCTAGGTTACCTGGGTGTCTCTCTACCTGCTACATTGCCTCCGGTCCTCTCCCAATCAGACCTCCATCTACCAGCCCACCTAGAGCCTGGTCACTCACGAGTCTCAGGGGATGCTAGGATCTCCACAGGTCCCGGGTCTCTGCTGGGGCTCGCTGGACCACCTGGCAACAGCAGCTCGGCATGCCTCTCACATGCTCCCTCGCTCAAAGATGAAGATGAGCCAGCCGGGGAATACAAGAGCATTCCTGTGAACAACAGAAGTGACCCCGAGAGGTTGGAATGTGGGGAGTAACAAGACCCTAGGATTCTGACCCTGACCTCTGGACTCCTGGGTCCCATCACCACCCGTCCCTCAGGCCACAGCCTCAGACATGAAGGAGACCCCCAGCCAGTAATGTATGCAGATTATTTATCCAATTTTCAGGAGGCTGGTCCTCGCATCTGACTGCCCCCTCCATTTCTCCCGTTTCCTTCTAGCAGATATAAGGGCAGGAACTGTAGACTGGCCTAGCCCATGAGACAACCCTGAGGGTGATTCCTCTGGGCAGAGTGGGGGCAGCCGGATCCCCACTGATGAGCTGCCTCACCAGCTCAGGGCTTCTCATCTCCATGACCCTCACACACAGGGAAACTAAACTCAAGCCCCAGGGCTTAGATGCGAGCTCTGCGCTGTGTATTCTAATCCTTCCAGGCCTCACCTGGCTCCTCCAGGACGTCTCCGAGGCCCTCCACCAGGGAGGCCGCCTTCCTGCAGCTCTCCGGATACTGGGCCACCACCCAGGGCCGGACCCTGTCGGGCAAGATGCCCAGGAACTGCTCCAGCACCAGCAGCTCCAGGATCTGCTCCTTGGAGCAGGCCTCAGGCCTCAGCCACTGGCGGCACAGCTCATGGAGCCGGGCCAGGGTCTGGTGGGGCCCGGCAGCCTCCTGGTAGACAAACTCGCGGAAGCGCAGGCGGGAGAACTCGAGGTCGGCGGCAGTCCTCCCAGGGATGTTCTCAGGTTCTTCCCGCCGGCCTCTGGCCGCCGACCTGAGGGTGGGCCGCTCAGGGGAGGCCGGGGAGCTCCTGGGGGAGGCAAACGCCCTCTCCAAAGGCAGCATTTTTCTAGAAGTGCACCAGAAAACGTGACTGTGCCTAACAGGCAGAGATGCCAGGGATGACAGGATGCCCAGAAGTTCAGCCAGCCGCAGGACCTGCAGAAGACATCAACAGATAGATGCCCACCAGTCAGAGGAGCGAAGCTGGGCTCTCTGAGCTCAACTGCGTACCCACAACGCCCAGATCTCATGCCGAATTATTTCCAAAAACATCAGTAGAATCACAGTTTTATACTGTGTATATAAAGGTAACATAAAAAGTACAGGGACGGGGCTGGCACTGTGGCACAGCGGGCTAAGCCTCTGTCTGTGGCACCGGCATCCCATATGGGCACCAGTTCAAGTCCTGGCTGCTCCACTTCTGATCTAGCTCTCTGCTGTGGCCTGGGAGGGCAGTAGAAGATGGCCCAAGTGCTTGGGCTCCTGCACCCGTGTGGGAGACCCAGAAGAAGCTCCTGGCTTTCCATTCTGTTCCCCTCTTATCTACCCCTTCTGGCAAAGGACCCCAACTCTTTTTTTTTTTTTTTTTTTTTTTTGGACAGGCAGAGTGGACAGTGAGAGAGAGAGACAGAGAGAAAGGTCTTCCTTTACCGTTGGTTCACCCTCCAATGGAAAGGACCCCAACTCTTCCACAGGGCCCTGTAAATAATACGCTGCCTTATACTCTCTTCCAGAATCACTCGTAGATACTAACTGTACTGTGTCTGGGGACTGGCTGATGGCTCACAGAACATTCACAGGTTTCACCCTCAGATTACCTGCTCATTATAAAAGGGGAAAGTTCCTGTAAAAGAACGGAAAACACAGGCAAGGGACCACTGCTAACATCCCAGCTGCCTCTGCCGTCTCTGCCCAGAACGCACACACTGGATCCACTCCTGAGGACCCAGAGGAACGTCCTGCACAACCTGCCTGGGCTCCCCAAAGGCCGCAAGGGGAGAAATGCCAAAGAAGTCACAGCCCCACGGCTCATGAAGAGAAACGCAACTCACCGCCCTGGCGCGGCTCTGAAGCCAGGAAAGAAACTTCTACAGGGCACTGTGGGGACAGGGCAGATGAAGGTGGAGTCAAGGGCCCAGCGACAGACCTACCTGGCCTCTGAGGAGCCAGCTGGGATAACGTAAGCACTGGGAGAGGGGAGAGAGCAAAACACGAGGGCAGAGCGCAATTTTTTTTTTTTCCTGACGGTCAGAGTTAGAGAGAGAGAGACAGAGAGAAAGGTCTTCCTTCCGTTGGTTCACCCCCCAAGTGGCCGCTATGGCCGTCGCGCTGTGCTGATCCGAAGGCAGGAGCCAGGTGCTTCTCCTGGTCTCCCACGTGGGTGCAGGGCCCAAGCACTTGGGCCATCCTCCACTGCACTCCTGGGCCACAGCAGAGAGCTGGCCTGGAAGAGGGGCAACCGGGACAGAATCCGGCACCCCGACCGGGACTAGAACCCGGGGTGCCGGTGCCGGCGCCGCAGGCGGAGGATTAGCCTGTGAGCCGCGGCGCCGGCCAACAGAGCACAAATGCTAACCCACTGGTGGATGAGGGGCAACGGGCACGCAGCAGGCCTTTCCTGGGAGCTTTTCTGCGGATCTGAAAACTTTTAAACTTTAAAACAAACAAATATATATATATACATACACATATATATACACACACACATATGTATGTATGTATGTATGTGTGTGTATATATGTGTATATACATATATACTACTATCACTAAAGCCTGACGTTCCCCACCCCACTGCCATCACCCTAGGTGATGCAAGGCAGGAACACTGAGAGCTTTCCTGGTTGAGAGCGCTGGGTCCCCCCTAACCGAAGCTGAACGCACCCCACGCGACTGCGCATGAAGGGTGCCAGCCCACCCAACCCAGAGAGCCGCCCGGTGCCGCCCCTCGACCGGCTCCCACCCTGGTGCTTCAGCCTGCCCCTCCTCGCCCTGCAGGGGCACCCTCAGCCCTGCCTCTCACCGACGCTCTCCTCCACGCAGTACCTCGGCCCCCTCCCCCTGCAGAACACTCGCGGCCCCCAGACTGGAGCTTTACGACCCTCCCGTTCCCCGGCCTAAGCCCCGGGCCTCCCACCTCTCCTAGCCCAAGTAGGGCGCTGTCGACCTTTCCCCCGCCCGGACACCAGGAGGGGGTCCTGGCCCCGCCCCCGGGAATCGCACCCCCTGACGTGCCCCGGGCTCCGTACACGCCCCTCCGAGACCCTCACCCAGAGGAAGCGCCCCGCGAGAGGCGCCCTCGCCCATCCCCCACCACACTCCCCTGGAGGCGCCCTCAGCTCTCGCCCGGGGCCGCCCCCTACCCCCCCAAACACGCTTCCAGTGCAGTGCGCCGGGGTCTGTCCGTTACGACCAGCACCCGTGGGCGACCAACGGCTGCTGGCACCCGACCCACCTAGGCACAGCGACGTCAGGCGGGTCCCAGTTGTCCAAGCTCAGGGCGCTGCGATGGCGGCCGACCGCACTGCGCATGCGCGAAGACCCTTGCCACAGACTACGGCTCCCAGGATGCTGCGGGGCTGCTCCGCGCGGCCCGAACGTCCCGCCCTCCCTCGGCCTGCGTCACTTTCGGTGCCATGGCAACGAGGTAAACAAGCGGATGACGTCCGCGACCACCAGACTGGGGGAAGGTGGGAGAGGGACGGGGGAGACAGTCGCAGGAAAATGAAGAGGGCCCAGAAAAGTGAAGCTGCGGGGACTGAGGCTTCAGATACGGAGACGGACAGGGCGACAGGAATGGGTGCATCCAGTGTTGGGGAGACGGGCAGGCCCCGAGACTAGGAGCCCCAGAGAGGGAGAGGCGGGGATGTGGAGGCTGCGCACCCAGAGGCGCTGCTTGGCCCTGGAGTGCGGCGAGGAGCCGGCAGGGTGTCCAGGGCTCCGGGAGTGGCTGCCACGGAGGGGCGCGTGCGGGAGGCCCGGGGAGAGGGAGTGGCTGCCACGGAGGGGCGCGTGCGGGAGGCCCGGGGAGAGGGAGTGGCTGCCACAGAGGGGCGCGTGCGGGAGGCCGCAGGCTCCGGGAGTGGCTGCCACGGAGGGGCGCGTGCGGGAGGCCCGGGCAGAGGGAGTGCGGACGCCCAGAACACGTCGGGCCGCCCGGCCGCCAGCGCCGGGCTGGGGGGCCGCTTCTCTTCGGGGCTTCTCCGGATCAGGGCTTCTGAGGATGCCATTTGGGCCGTTTTGTGCGGCGTAACGTTTAAAACGCGTGAACAGGTCATGTTGAATGTCTTCTATTTACATACAGCAAAAGTTACTTTGGTTATTTTGGTATTTTGAATTTTAACTCAGGTGCCACAAGCACAAGCAAGGCATAGAGAACTCTGCTTGGCAGGCACACCCGCCCTCACCCGTAACCCCCCAGCCACCACGGTCTGTACTGCAGTCTGTGACGAGATTGCCTTTACAGAGTGTCGTATGAATGCAATCCTACAGTACCTGGGCTTTTCATGAAGCCTAACTCCCTGGGATGCACTGAAACGGTGTGTATCAATACTTTTATTACTCGTGGCATTCAATAGCTTGTTCACGCATTGAAGGACATCGGTCTTGTTTCCAGTACTTCGTTATTACAAATAAAGATGGCACAAAATGTATGTTTGTTCGTTTGTTTGTTGACAGGCAGAGTGAATAGTGAGAGAGAGAGACAGAGAGAAAGGTCTTCCTTTTGCCGTTGGTTCACCCTCCAATGGCCGCTGCGGCCGGCGCACCGCGCTGATCCGATGGCAGGAGCCAGGTGCTTCTCCTGGTCTCCCATGGGGTGCAGGGCCCAAGCACTTGGGCCATCCTCCACTGCACTCCCGGGCCACAGCAGAGAGCTGGCCTGGAAGAGGGCGACCGGGACAGAATCCGGCGCCCCGACCAGGACTAGAACCCGGTGTGCTGGCGCCGTTAGGCGGAGGATTAGCCTAGTGAGCCGCGGCGCCGGCCCTGTATGTTTTTTTTTTTTTCCCCAACACCAACCAGTTCTCTAACGCCAACTGAACATGCGCGTGCAGATTTGTATGTTTTCACTTTTTGGGTATGATTGTCTAGAAGTGCAACTGCTGGGTTATTTAGTAAACGTAGGCTTAGTGTTGTAAGAAACTGCCATACTTTTTCCAGAGCAGCTGGACTACTTTACATTCCCACCACCAATGTAAGTTTGAACCAGTTTCTCTACACTCTAAACAGCATTTGGTATTTAGCACTACTTTTTTTTTGTAATTTAACCATTCATTCTGATAGGTGTGTAGAGTTACCTCACTGTGGTTTTTATGTGTAGTTCCCCAAGGGCTACTAACATTAAACATGTGTTTATCCTACTAACATTAAACATGGTTCATTGGCCGGCGCCGCGGCTCACTAGGCTAATCCTCCGCCTAGCGGCGCCGGCACACCAGGTTCTAGTCCCAGTTGGGGTGCCAGATTCTGTCCCGGCTGCCCCTCTTCCAGGCCAGCTCTCTGCTGTGTCCAGGGAGTGCAGTGGAGGATGGCCCAGGTGCTTGGGCCCTGCACCCCATGGGAGACCAGGAAAAGCACCTGGCTCCTGGCTCCTGCCATCGGATCAGCGCGGTGCGCCTGCCGCAGCGCGCCAGCCGTGGCAGCCATCGGAGGGTGAACCAATGGCAAAGGAAGACCTTTCTCTCTGTCTCTCTCTCACTGTCCACTCTGCCTGTCAAAAAAAAAAAAATGGTTCATGGTGTTTTCCATCCATGTATACTCTTCAGTGAAATGTTTCTTCATGGCTTCTCATTTTCTAGCTTGCAAACTGAGTTTTGAGAGGTCTTTATATATTCTAGATATGTTGTCAGATAACATGGTTTCAAAAGCTGTCCCCTGGTCTGCAGCTTGTCATTTTATTTCCTTAACAGAAACTTTAGCAGAATAAAGAATTTTAATTTAGGTGATATATAACTTGTCCTTTTATGGATCATGCTTTTGTTTTCAATTTTAAGGACTCTGAATAACCTTAGTCCTGGGGGTTTCCTCTTATATTTTTTTCTAACAGTTTTACAGTTTTATTTTTTAAATTTAAGCTCATCAATGATTTTGATTTTTATGTAATATATGATGTTGAGGTTCATTTTTTCTTTTTCTTTTTATTTTTGACAGGCAGAGTGGACAGTGAGAGAGACAGAGAGAAAGGTCTTCCTTTGCCGTTGGTTCACCCTCCAATGGCCGCCGCGGCTGGCACGCTGTGGCCAGCGCATCACGCTGATCCAAAGCCAGGAGCCAGGTGCTTCTCCTGGTCTCCCATGGGGTGCAGGGCCCAAGCACTTGGGCCATCCTCCACTGTACTCCCGGGCCACAGCAGAGAGCTGGCCTGGAAGAGGGGCAACCGAGACAGAATCCGGCTCCCTGACCGGGACTAGAACCCGGTGTGCCGGCGCCGCAAGGCGGAGGATTAGCCTATTGAGCCACAGCGCCAGCAAGTTTCATTTTTTTCACTGTGGATGCTGGAGTGTTTATTTCTAACAACAAATGTATATCTTTTTCCCCAGCATCAACCAATTCTCCTATACTAACTGAACGTCCAACAATTCAATTCAGACACTAACTACCCTGAACTGGAGCAGACCCAACAGGTCAAAGCCTCAGTCCATGTCAGATAGCAGCCACAGGCGACCTAAATCCAAATTTAGGCATTCCTACGTGGCCATCTCAGGTAAAGTAATTTGCTAGAGTGGTTCACAGAATGTAGGATCACTGTGTTTACCGATTCATTATAAAGGCTATAACTTGGAAACAGCCAGATAGCAGCGATACAAAGGGGACTGGAAAGTGCATAGAGCTTCCTTGTCCTCTCTGGGCTGCCACCCTGCAGATGAGCCTGAAACTCACTAAATCTCATGCCCCACCATGTTCTCATCTTCTTTCTGGAACTAGCCCCCATCCCAAGTCACCTCAGCATAAACCCAGGTGAAGGTCAAAGGAGCTCCGTATAAATAACAGGTCACTCTTCTCAGGAAATGCCTTTCGGCTCTGGGCCAGGAACCAGGGACAAAGACCAAATGTATGTTTTATTCCAGAACATATTTCCAATTGCTCTAGCACCATTTGCTGAAAAGGCTATGCTTCCCCCACTGGATAGATTCCGTTCCTTCATCAAAAATCAGCTGGACACTGTCCACTCTGTCAAAAAAAAAAATCAGCTGGAATATCTTTTTTAGCCTATCCCTATATTCTCTATTCTGTTCCATTGATCTGCCAATGACACACTCTTGATTACCATAGCTAGCATGCAGTAAGCCTTAACACTGGGTAGAGTTATCCTCTCTCCCCATTATTAAAAATTTTCCAAAAACTGTTTTGGCTATTTTTTAAAAAGATTTTATTTATTTATTTGAGAGGTAGAGTTACAGACAGTGAGAAGGAGAGAGAGAAAGGTCTGCCATCACTGGTTCACTCCCCAAATGGCCACAATGGCCGGACCTGGGCCGATTTGAAGCCAGGAGCTTCTTCCAGGTCTCCCATGCACGTTAACGGGCCCAAGCACCTGGACCATCTTCTACTGTTTTCCCAAGTTATAGCAGAGAGCTGGATCGGAAGTGAAGCAGCCTGGACTAGAACCAGTGCCCATGTGGGATGCTGGCTGGCAGAGGCTTAATCCACTGTGCCACAGTGCCAGCTCCCCTCCCCCCCCCTTTTTAAAAGATTTTATTGACTATCCTATGTATTATGCTTTCTCATATAACTTTAGAACAAATGTATGCCCACAAAAAAACTTTGCTGGGTGTTTGATAAGAATTACATTATGTACATTTTTAAAAAAATTTTTATTTATTTGAAAAACAGAGTTAGAGAGAGAGGTAGAGACAGAGAGAGGTCTTTCATCCACTGCTTCACTCCCCAGATGGCCGCAACGGCTAGAGCTGCGCTGATCCAAAGCCAGGAGCTTCTTCCGGGTCTCCCACGTGGGGACAGGAGCCCATCTTCTACTGCTTTCCCAGGCCTTAGCAGAGAGCTGGATTGGAAAAGGAACAGCTGAGACTAGAACCAGCACCCATATGGGATGCCAGCACTTCAGGCCAGGGCTTTAACCTGCTGCACCACAGTGCCAGCCCCACATTACGCACATTTTTTTAAAAAGTCTTGACTAACTGCATTGGTAAGACTATGATTTTCAGTAGCACCAGGGAGAGCAGGCATTCTTGCTGTTTACCACTCATAGGGGAAATTATGCTGTTAATTGTAGGTTGTTTACATATATCCTTTTCAGATTAGAAAGTACCTCTTGTGGCACAGTGGGTTAATCCTCCACTTGCGGCACCGGCATCACATATGGGAGCCAGTTCAAGTCTGAGCTGCTCCACTCCTATCTGGCTCTCTGCCATGGCCTGGGAAAGCAGTGGACGATGGACCAAGTGCTTGGGCCCCTGGATCCACAAGGGGGATGCAGAAGAAGCTCCTAGCTTCAGATCAGCCCAGCTCCAGCTGTCGTGGCGATTGGGGGAGTGAACCAGCAGATGGAAGACCTTTCTCTCTGTCTCTCCCTCTGGCTGTCTATAACTCTCCTTCTCAAATAAATAAATAAAATCTTTTTTAAAAAGTACCTCTTTA